TATATATATATTATATATATATATATTATATATATATATATATATATATATATATATATATATATATATATATATATATATATATATATATATATATATATATATATATATATATATATATATATATATATATATATATATATATATATATATATGTAAATATATAATGATATAGAAAAGAGTATAGAAGTATGAGACTAATAATATATTCACATGGAATATAGAAGTATGAGAGGTCTACGTTAAACGTACAGCATGTTTGTCAAAAACTATGGGTCATTTGTTTGGCAATTGTATTCTCTGACTAAGGGATCATTATCAACCAAACTCATAACAGAACTTGCACTACAATTGAATTGGATTACTCTTCAATCGCATAATACTATACTATCAAACGACAGCAGATTTCGAGTACATAAACTGAATTTCACATCTGTGCTACATGGCTTTCGAGTTGTTCATAACAACCGCTATCTACATTGTTGTTGAATTTTTGATATAGACAGGGTTGTCTATAGTCTTTGTGCCTAAACTGTCGTTGTTTTCATTGTCCGAAAGTTTTTAGAGTGCACATCCAAACAGGATCAACTCTGGGACCACATCCTAGTAAGGTGGACCTAAAGTTTTGACTATCGACATAGTAAGGTTCAAGCGCCATTTCCTGAGTAGTTTAGTGGTGATTTTATTGCTAATTCGTACCTACAAGGTACATGATCTATCCACCCTTGCATTCATAAATACATACATACAAGCATGGTATATATATACTATGTACACATGTCCCTTCTAAAGAAGTGTGCATCCCCCGGATTTCTTGGCCTTGTAGTCCATAGCCGCCCGCCCAGCGCATTGGAAGACCTCCTCTAGGCCGGTCTTGGTCTTTGCGGAACATTCGACGTACTTTGTAGCTCCGATGGTGGTGGCCATCTCAACACCCTGTTGTTTACTTAGTGGCTTCTCATTTACCTACAGACGGGGGTGTTCATAAGAAGTACATATGAGCACAGGCGAGAGGAGTACATACGCGTACATGTGATACTTCGTATATATGAGAACATGCCTGTCTAATCGATAGTTGGGAAGTTATTCAAGTATTTCGCTATTGGCTATATTAAACTTATACGCCGATACACACGTATACCTACATACACATTAGTAAATATGATAGACCTCGTGCAACACTGAGTATAATTTCATTTCCTCTACTCTGCCCACTTAAAGCTGATGGAAACACAACGCGGACTACATACAGACTGTGCTGTTACATTATAGGGAATGAAATGTTCGGTACCTACCTTTCCTAATTTGGCAATGATGACAGAGTCCTCGCGCAGATCTGTTTTGAGTCCAGCCAGAATGATAGGGACACCTGGGCAGTAGTGCTTAGCCTCCGTCGCCTGTATGAACCAGCAAGTATATTAGGGAGTTTTGTTAGCAAAGTATGTACAAATATGGTTAGCTTATGACAATTACCGATGATATTTGAATGAAAGGTGACTGTGAAGGGGATGGAACTATATATAAAAGTATCCAGGTAGTGTGAACAAGAGGAATGAGGATAACGGGGGGCAGAAGAAAATATCCTGAACTTGTTTTCTTGACATCCCTAAGCCGTAACCGCTTGACAATGCCGCGTGAGATGTGAACTATGTGTTTGCAACACCAGTTATGTGAGGCGCAATGTGTGTCTATTACACTTACACCCTAGTGGCACAGAGCGGACTGTGAAAGTATAGGGATCAGGGGGTTGAGTACAGCATATGTGTACCACTGCCGAAGCTACAGCTCACACATGCAGTTCGGAGTCATCCTTTGACCACAAAGCACCGGACGCGCTCAACACCTGCAGGGTATAACTATACCCACACATCACACACTGTTACTGATATTTACACTCAATGGCGCAGGTGCGAGCGAACCAATTAGTCGAGTGCACAAACAAAAGAAAAAACCCTTTCTCGTCCTGTTTGCTAAACCTTGTCTTTTACCATCACATACCCATTTGTCGGGCACGTTATAGAAGGAATCGGGATCGTCTATGGCAAAGCAGATGACTATAACACTGGATTTGGGGTATGAAAGTGGGCGCAATCGATCGTAATCCTCCTGTCCGGCTGTATCCCATAACGTGAGCTCTACGTTCTTGCCGTCGATAGCTGTGGTAGAGATTGAGTGGATTGTTAGAGAAGAAGCACCGTGTGTGCAAAATTACAACACTTGTATTCAACAGATATTTTGTGCAATGTATGCGCGCGGTAGTAATCTTAGATAAAAGGTAGTATTAAATAAAGTTTGGGATACCTATAACATACACACACACACACACACACACACACACACACACACACACACACACACGACACACACACACACACACACACACACACACACACACACACACACACACACACACACACACACACACACACACACACACACAACTCACACAACACACACACANACANACAACANACACACACACACAACNCACACAACAACNAANACCANANACANACACCAACNACNAC